CTAAAAAATAATATTTGTGAAACTGACACGAACCGTTCAGCACAACACAGCAAACTTTGCACTGCGTCTTTTCACACGATTCCAGTCAAAACAGCCATCAAGTACAAGTTCTTCATTCTTTTCAGCAGATTTGCTTTCAGTTTTCAAGGAAATCTGCAGGGGTATTTTTCCACACCTCCAAAGTTCAGTCTTATCCTCTGCTACATCCGATCTGAGTGTCTTGTCTCCTTTTCTGCACATCTTTCAGACTTATAGTGCTGAGTCGTCTTCTCACAGTGGAAGGATGGACAGAAACACCTGTGGATTTTTTCAGATCTGAAGCAAGACTGGAGCTTGATTTTAAAGTGTTCTCTATCTGACTGGGACAGTTTTGGTGGACGTCTCTGAACAACATGCTACTGAGACCCCATCATTAATTTAAGCCTGCTTTTAAAAGAAAGCATACAGAAATCTCTGCTGCTAGTTGCTCAAACTTTAGTAAACTGAGTGAATTAATTCAGCCACATTTCAAATCTCAACACTGCAGAAATTGATATCTTAGTAAGTGAAAACATCTTAAATGTAGTCAATATATCTAATATTTCTCATTGTGAGATTATTCTAAGAATATTATACAATCATTTTACTTATTTTAAGTCATTATCTAGTGAAAAAAACGTGTTTAACAAGTAAAATAATCTGCCAATGGAATAAAACATTTTCAATAGATAACTTAAAACAAGTAAGAACTTCTAGAAATAAGTACAACAATCTCAGCATTCTTACAATATTCTTATAATAATATAATATTAGATAAATTGACTACATTCCAGATTTTTTTACGTAGTAAATTATTTGAAATGTGGCTGATTTATTCCACTCAATTTACTAACATCTGAGCAACTAGCAGTGGACAGTTTGCATGTTTTCTTTTAAAACCAGGTTTAAATAAGCGATGGGGTCTCACAAGCATGTTGTTGAGAGACGTCCACCAAAACTGTCTACATCAGATAAACAGCACCACTCCTGCTTCAGATCTGAAAGCATCCACAGATGTTTCTGTCCATCCTTCCACTGTGAGAAGATGAAAAAAGAAAAAAAAGAAATAAAAACAAAGAAGCTGCTGGTGTTCTCAGAACAATGGACTGACCAGCCCAGAGTCCAGACCTCTACAACATTGAATATTTTAGGGATTACTTGAATTGTGAGAAACAGAAAGGGTTGCAAATAACCTCAAAGACTTGAATATCCCTGCAGATTTCTTTGAAAAAATGAAAGTGGGTCTCCTGAAAAGAACAGAAGCTGTAATAAAGGCAAAGAGTAAATACTAAAATGTTTATTTAATTGTTGAGGCTTCTGTTTAAGTTTATATGTTCAATCTATGTTGAAAATGAACAACCTGTCCTTAATGACTGTTTTGACCAGAAATAAATGATGGGTGGTCTCTAATTTTTGCACAGTGCTGTACTGTCCTTCAATGTTTCCCAACATTGGACTGGTGTTGTATGTCAACTTTAAAATCTTGAGGACGCATCTTGTACTTTGTGTACCACCTTCAGGGCCTTCAGTGCTGCCATTACAGTACAGGGGGTGAAGAGTGATGGGCTTAAACACTCAGAATGGTAACAGGTCTGTGTCTGTGAGGCTTTAGGACACGAGTTACACCCTCCACCCTCCACACACCCCCTCACAGATGGCATTTTCCATGCCCCTGCATCTATAAACCACTTCAGACAATACGTCTCTACCCACTCTCATCAGGATGTTTTCAAACTCCAGCCAGCTGTACCTCCCTTTCACCGTCCTCACGTCGGCTGGAACAGGCTTTGTTAGCATACCCGTATCTCAGAGCTTGAGTGCCCAAACAAAACAACAGAAGTGGCCAGCATGGGCTTTTAAATCACCGGCCGCTCCACTTCCAGAGCCATTCACTGCTTGCCTTTGTCTTTCTTTGGTCCTGCTTACTGGGATCAGCTGCTATTCAGGTTTTCACCATGCTGCTTATGAGGAGGATGATGGTGATTGAAAGGTCTTAGATCAGTGGCCTGCAAGTACCTGCATGCAGGCCCGTTACTGCAGAATCAGATCAAAGACTGATTTATGTTAAATTATGTTTTTAAACCAAATTCTGGGATGGAAAACTTTCACTATGATAAGGTGACACATAAAGTGACTTTATGTAAAGAGTCCTTGAAAGTCTCAAGCCTGAAACTTTAACATTAGCTAGATGTTGTTGCCAAGTTAGCCTAGTTAACGATAATAGCCGTAGCTGATGGTGTGTAATGAAAGCATCATGTGCTCAAGCCAGCCACAATGGGCAGGTTTTATTTTGCGCTATAAGTTTTTGTTCAGATAAAATTAGTTAATAACAGATTTATAAACATGAGTATTTGAGGCTTATAAAAACACTGGGTGGCATTTTGTAAACGTTTTGTACTAGTGTCAGGCGCACGTCGGACGCATTCTTTCTGAGTGTTATGTACGGAGTTGGTACACAAGCCTAAAGGCGTAGTTTCTGGGCCTTGTGTTAGCGTTTCTGACCCTCATGTATTTATGTCTGAGGGAGGACTAAGCAAAAGGTGCAAAGATCTGCAAATCTTAGCAAACAAAAACCTTAAAATCTTAAATGTACTCAGTATTTCTAATATTTCTCATAATGACATTATCATAATAATATTATTAGATTATTCAACCTATTCTTTTTTCTTCTTTGTTCTTGTTTGTCCTGTTTTCTTGTTTTATCTGGTAAGAGTGTGTAACTCCAATGGCAGATAATTGCACTTATTTTGAGAAATAATGCAGTTAATCTTGCTTATTTCAAGAAAAATGTGTTTAACAAGTAAAATCATCTGCCAAAATAGCTTTAATGGAACTCAAATAACAAGACAAAAGTACAAGAACAGGCTGAATAATCTAATAATATTCTTAAACAAGCAAGAGTGGAGCTTGATTTTCTCCTCTCTCTCTCTCAAAGATGAAAGCTTTGCTCTGATGGGGGCAGTTCTGGTGGTCTTCCAGGCCTTGCAAAGCTGCTTTAATCATTTTTGGTCTACAGTTTTTTTTTTTTTTTAATGAATACCTTGTACCTCATGGCTGTTTTGTCTTAAAAAGATTCTTGATATGCACCCTTAACAAGCTGTTTTCATTTAGAACTTTAATGAAATTTGGGGCTGGAAAATATTACAGCTCCAGTAATGATACTAACCTAATTCCTATGTGTGCCCTGTTAAAAGTAAATAACGTGTCCTCCCTGTTATGTTTGAGCCAATCGGTTCATATGAAAAATATGTATTAATTCATAGTTTTGATGTCACCATTATTCTAAAATATGGGTCATAATAAAAATAAAGAAAACCCATCGCTGAAAACTTCTGACTGCTACTGTATTGTGAAATTTCTGATGAAACATATGATAATAGTGCCTTTAAATAGAGGGAATCTACCCAACAGCACTGCTGAAGAGCAGCGGCTGCACACAAACATATGTGCACACGAGCACATGCCCCTGGACACAAACGCAGATTTAGAAGTCTGTCAGTTACAGCTCTCCTTCTGCCGCAGTGCCACAACTGCCGGGTGAATTACCATGACAACCAGGACTGCCTGCTACTCCGGGGGGGTGGATCTGTGTTTCGTATCTACTCGCCCAGCCTACGATATTGTGTCTGTGGTTTAGTAATTCAATAGTGATCCTGCAACACCCTTAAAAGGCCGTTATGACTGCTCAACTGAATTCATCACTCTGAAAACAATACACTTTTGATTATCTTTTCAGTTATTAGGAACCTTCATCATTTCAGAAACATATACACTGAAAGCTGAAGCCCTCTTTTTAGGCACAGCACGAGGTGCTAAAAAAGCCACCTAAGAAAAGGGAAATTCCACCAATTTTAAAAAAATTCTGCAAAACTCAGTCATTAAGAAATAAACAAAGTCATCGTGTGTGTAATTGGTCTAAAAGCTATATCACATAACGTTATTATGCCTGAGATATTGTTTTATGCTAGTTTCGTGATAAAGTTAGTTCATTCATGGCAAAGAGGTACCTACAGGGTGTTCTAAGGCAAAATAGTCCCCAGAAAAAAAAACATATTTTCAGATTTATTACCATTTTACCATCAGCAACATTACATATAAAACATATATATATATCGCTGTTATCGGAAAAAATCTTGTATCTCCAAAATTATAACTTTACAGGAGATGGAAAAAAACTGTTTTACTTCTAATGTAAGTCAATGGAACCAGACTTTTTTCCAAGTCATTTTGGGCCGTTTCTTTTGGTCCATTCATCATGAAATTTATACAGAATGTAAAGAGCAACAGGCAAATTATTTTCAAAAACTGAAAAATGACAAAAATGGAGATACAAGGTTTTCTTCAGACAGCAACGAGATATCTATATCTATCTATATATCTATATAAATATCTATATATATCTATATATATATATATATATATATATATATATATATATATATATATATATATATATATAAAAACCATATACATACGGTTACCACCACCAGAAATCAGAGCTGGGGAATCTACAATGAACTATTTCATGTGTGTGTGTATATATCTATATCTATCTATATATCTATATAAATATCTATATATATATCTATATATATATATATATATATATATATATATATATATATATATATATATAAACCATTTACATACGGTTACCACCACCAGAAATCAGACCTGGCGAATCTACAATGAACTATTTCATTAAACCACACTGAATGACTTTGTTTACACCTGAATGATGTAAGTAAAACTGGAAATTCTCTTTTAAGCTGTTTGAATGTCATATACATCAGTATGAAGTACGGAGCACTTTTCCTGCTGTGAAAATTGCAGCGTATTTTGTAGGACAGAAATGTTATTCAGATCCCATTCCTTTCACTTCCGTTCACAAAACAAGTAACTCACCACCCTCTGTGGCTGATATCATGGAGGAGTGCAGCGATGGAGGATGTGAGGTACGTGTGTGCATGACTGTGACTCACCTCCACTCATCCTGTGGTCGGTTCTGCTCGTATTTCTCCCTCACGTGGGACACGCCCATATCGGGGTGGAGCCAGTGGACCTCCCCTGACTGGACGTGGCTGAGTCGCAGGCCGAAACACGCCACACATTTCACCTTGTGGATGTCCACAATCTTCTGAATGATCCCCTGAATGAGCAAGATTAAGAGCTTACGTTACTATTACATTATTATTATTATTACTACAAAAACACAGTCCAAAAACAGAGAAAACACTGACTTAGGCAGCACTGTGCTCAAACTGATTGTCTTTAATAGCTTCTAATGTATTTGTTTTATCTAATATTGCATTTCGAATGCTAGTAGTGGTTGGAGTGATCGTCGGCTCAAGATAAAATCGAAATTCAGGACAGACTGGGCTAAAACTGAAACCAAAAACTGAGAAAAGCTCAATAAATACAACATAAAATACATATATTGAAATGACTTGTGCCACAAAATCCAATGTCCTCGACAACTTTTTTAAAAAAATTATTTATATGTTAAATTTCTTGCCAAATGTCTCTGGTAGAAACTGTGAAATAGTTCCATGCAGCCGATATTTTCACTGTTGATCTGTTACTGATCCGACTGTTTGAACGCCTTTTTAATCACTAATTTTCATTTTCATTGCCACAATAGGTATTTTTGAAGCCTTAGATTTTGTAAGCTTATTTAATCCATGGTGATTAAATCTATCCTTTTTCTCTTCGTGGACAATAACCAAAAGTGCCATTTTTGACCATTTTTGGCCGAAGATTTTCAGTGCATCCTGAGTTTTCATGAGCATTCATTGTTAATAGTCATAATCTGACAGTATATCCATTTTCTACACTGATGATTTGATAGCAAGAAAAAAAGTTAAGCTGCACTGTGGCTGGTCCAATGGAATGCAGCTTTTGTTTAGCACTATCAACTAGTGGCTACTATAACTAACTAGGCTAAATTATTGAAAGCTTTATACCCAATGCTAAACCTTCAGCTCAGGGTTCTTAAGGTCACTGCAAGTGAAGGGGTACGTTACCGTGTCATGGCAAATTCTGCTCTGAGACTTTTTCTTTTAAATATTACCTGAATCATTTATGAAGAAATACATTTTTGACCAGATTCCACACGCATGACACATGTACATCACATGCAACTGACACATGCAGGCAATTAACTTGCAGACCACTGCTGTACACATCACTAAAATTAAACACTGACTGGAACTGAACTGGAATTAAAGACAATATCAAACTCTTAAAACTAAATTAATGGGATATATTAAAAGAATTACCATCTCTTCTCCTTTACAGAAATACATTAGCAATGACAAGATAAGAGTGGACAACTTCATGTCAGATGACATCATCCCTGCCGAGCAGAGGGTCTTACAAGTTGACAGCGTGAGCGGTTCGGTTGCCACGGCAGCGCTCTTGGCTAGATGGAGCTGGGCGTTTTGATAGGATTAGGGCCGTGGAGATGGGTTGGCAGCAACGAGCGGCCACCTACACAATCTGATCGAGCCCACAGCTATCAGACGCTGCCTCAACACTGCACCCTTGACCTGCTCCCACACTGACCGCATTAACTGCAGTCACTGGGTTAGCATCAACCGTAATCCACAAGGAGGCTTACTGTGTCGGAAAATCTCTGGTTCCTCGCTTGGCTGAAGGATCAACCAGTCAATAAACAGAAAAAACTCAGATAGCATTAAGCCCTTGAACTGAACAGTCTCTTACGTTAAGGTTTAAAAAAACTCTACTGAAACTGTTTCTAGCATCCTTCTCAAAACGCTTTTAGCCCCTAAAACCAATTCCGTACATGGACTGGATCTCAAAGGAACAGACTCCACTGTTACAGTTCAGACAGTGAATGAAAGGACATCCCCTGAAACGCATCTGAGTGCTATTCACTGTGACAGCCCAGCCCACACACTTTGGGGCCATAGCTTATTTATGACAGGGTGTTCGCCATGGCAGACCCCCGGGGTCCGGCTGCGTCCCATTTCCACGCTGTAATAGCAGACGCTGGACGTCTCTGAGGATGACGATGTGAAGGAAGTGCGGTGATCGTCACTAAAAGTGGAAAGTAACTGTCTGAGCTGTCAGTAAAGAAGCGAAACGCCCAAGAGGACACACATTAGCAAAGCAAACTCATTAATGATGTAAGGCCTTTCCTGCAAAATGACTACGAACCATCAAGTACTAGAAACACTCCTGGAAAGACACGGTGGCCTGATTAGGGAAGCAAATTTTGGAGAATTCTTTAGACTGTTAATCATCATTAGTTACTTTCAAGCCTGAAATCAAACCCATCAAAATATCAAGTATAAAATGGACAGTTTGGGTTCTGAAATCTGACTGGCTGAGTCGCATTCAAAGTCAATAAATTGTACATTTCTGCAGAATTAAATGGTTGAGATGTCAACAGTGGTGGCGACAGGAACCAGACATACAAAGAATCTAATGCCCCTAAAAGGTCCCTAACAGAAAGTTATGAATATGCTGCCTGATTCCTAAGACGTTGTTTTATGATAAGCTTTTGGGCTACAATATAGTTATTTTAAATCCACTGTCAAAAGTCAAAATAATCCCCCCCAAAAGTTTTTTACCAATAAGTTACCAATAACAACATTACACATAAAAACTCAGAAGACACGTGTAGGTTCACTGGTCATTCTGGATAATAAATTAGCATATAAAATGCCAATATCTGCATTGTAGATATTGCGAGTCCTGGGTCCTGTCACCACTACTGTAAAGTAATCTGAGTCAGTAAGTTTCTCTACAATGAACATCAAAACACTCTGAACAACTTTGTTCACATCTCAACCATTGAATAATGAAGAAAGTAAAAAAAAATAGGTGGAATTCCCATTTAAGTTAAAACGAATATGATTGCTGTGACCGGGTCTAGCTTAGGCTCACCCAGGTATGATTACCTCACACCGCCGGACATCACACTTCCTCTTGCAGAACATGGACGTGGACGTTTGCTTTTCATATTGTGCATCATCATCATAGCTGCACCATCTTCCTCTCCAAAGTGCTCCCCAACCCCACAATTTTTAGCTGTATGCTTCATTTTTAGAAGGCCTATCTAGCAGAACCAACTGCCTACTGTGTCCTTATTTGAACGATGCAAAAATGTTTCTATTCAAACAGGAATTGTTGTTTATTTTCAAATTAAATAATATTAACATTCTTTAATGGATAGCAATGGCTGCACAATTGTTTATTTGCCCATTAGTGGTTTGTCGTTTACACATTTACCTTCCTAAACCTGATTCTATAGCAGTATAACAGATTTTCTACCAATCCAGACACTTAGAATTACATACATATTTGTTTGAGGTAGACAAACTCACAAAAACTAAAAACAAACAAAACAAAAACTAATTCAAGAAAACATGCATCATACACTAAGACTAAATACATCAACAGTAATCTATTAACAAAACATGAACCCATCCCTTAAAAATCAAACTCATCCATTAAACCCACTCTAAAATGGTTTGAGAATGGTGGGGAGCCATTACAAGAAACACAGTATGTACGCCAAACACCAAAAAAAAATTATTAAAAGACTATTCACTGAAATCCATCCCAGTACAAATCCGGTGGTGATCTCCTGATACACCAAAGAGCAGGACTTCTCTAAACCTACCATTACAATAACTGACTATTAAGCCTGGCTTTGCCATGACTTAGACTCCCACTATCAGTAGTCAGTGAGAGGTTAACGTCTGAGGCCTGTGAGTTGTTGTTCAACTCCTTAATTTTATTACCCACTGAATTAATATTATCTAGCGTGTTCCTGACATTAAAGTATAAAAAGACATTCGGGTAGTGCTTACTTATCCATGAGGGCCACATTTTTGTTGATTCAATACTTAGAATTCTGGATAGCCTTATTAAAAATCCAACATCTTGTTTCCAGAACGCTTGTTTTTTTTGCACTTGAGAGAATAGCAGCATGTACTGAGTCCCCAATGAACATATTCATAAAGCAGTAATGATTCAAAAACTCATCTGCAGTGATGCTCAATTAGTAACAAAAGCAATTTGCCTCCAAATCATTAAACCTCATCTCGAGGCCACTGTATGCTGCAAGCAAACCGCATGAGTGATGACTGAGTGATCTGACATTATGGGGGGGCCTTGGCTACAACACACACTGAGCAAATGTACCGCGGATTGTCTTATGAGCTGCTTATGTTCTGATGTCCAAAGAACCGCAGGCCTATTTCTCTGCTGAGGCAAGACATTTCTTATAGATTTAATCTGTAACCATTTACTACAAAAAGCTGGGACAGTATGTGAAACGCAAACAAAAACCAAAAGCAGAGATTTGTATGTCTACATTAACATGTATCTAAAAAAGTACAAAGACAAGATATTTAATGTTCTGTTCCATCAAATTCATTCTTTTTTGAACACTGATTTCAGGTATTTCACCTCCTACAGTAGATCATCAAAAGATTCAGGAAATTCCGGGAAATCTCTGCGGCACTGACAAAAAAACAAAAGTAAACAAAGACGGCACTGCATCAATAACCAGTATGCTTCTGTGATGGATATCATCACATGGGCTCAGGAATACTTAGACACTATTCATTGCTGCATCCACAAATACAAATTATGACTGTACTACGCACAGCAGAGGCCAACAATGTCCAGAAACGCTGCTGCCTTCTCTGGGCTCGAGCTCATCCGAAACAGACCGATGTACATATGGAAATGTGTTTTCGTGGTCTGACGTGTCAACCTTTCAGATTTATGGAAATAATGGATACAGTGTTTCCCAGGTCAAAGAAGAAAATGACAATCCAGACTGTTACCAACGTAAAGTTCAAAAGCCAGAGCTGGTCATAGTGTGGGGGGGTGTATTAGTCGGTAACTTACACATCTGTGAAGGCACCATTGACACATTTTGGAGTTCGCAAGCGGATCAATTGGCGTCTTCAGTCCTCAAATGATTATTAAGTGCTTTTAAAAGGAAAAGTGATGTAACACAGTGGTAAACATGATCCTGTATCAACTTCCAGGCATCAAATATGGAATGAGCGTACATATTCCCAAGAGTTTCTAAGGTAAAACGTCAAATGTGATACTGTTTTCAACTGAGTACAGGTCAAACAGAATTAGCGCTGCAGTATCGTCTGA